GTCTAAATGGGCCATCTTGATTAAACACTACAAAATTTTTTTTCTCCTGCTAATAGCAGCTCATCTTAACTAATTAGACTCTCACAGTTTGTATGCCAACTTTCAACTTATCTGTGTATATACACCTATCTATCTTACTATATGTTCCATTCTATGCATCCGATGAAGTGGGCTGTAGCCCATGAAAGCTTATGCTCTAATAAATTTGTTAGTCTAAGGTGCCACGAGTACTCCCGTTCTTAGCATCAGTCTCTAACTATTGCTAATGGAGTTTGTAATGAGCTAGCAGCATGTTAGCTCTAAACACTATGACCAGACCTCACATGGTTAATGCTTAGTAACAATGGCAACCAAACATTTCCCTCCCCACCAGAGGCCTAGGCTGGCACATAGACCTCTTCCCAGGGCCAATTCACCACACTTGTTTTGCACTGTCGACAGGACCGTAGAATAGTGCTTATGTAACTAGTTTGGCCAGCCCAACCTCCTCACAGTCTTCTGTGCATTATGATACCCTAGTGAGCACGGCTCCAAGTACTGCTGGTTCTCCTCTGAGGGCACATCTGACAGGCACTCTACTCTCCAAGAAGAAACAATGGGATAGCATCCAGGTTTTCCCAAGAATTTACCAATGCAAATGTACTTAGGCAGGGGAGAAGGTGCAGACGCAGGTCAGTGGTTGCCCTGGAGGGGGGTAAAAGAAAAAAGCTGCCCTGTGGATGCAGCTCAGCCACGTTTGTGTAACCAGGTCAGATGCCACCACGACCGGGTGATGTGCTTGTAATGCTTGTGGAGCCCTGAGCTGGGCATTCCTTTCCATTTTAGTTAACCCAGAGCTTACAGCTTCCTGGGATCCACTATTCGCATTCTCAAGAGACCTTGACAAGAACAGCCAAACAAGGGAAGGTGGAGAGGATCTTCTATGTTTTAATAGTTTAAAAAAAACAAAAACAAAAAAATACTAGATTTGTATGGGAATGAAGAAGGTAGGATAGACCTTGGAGACAATCATCGTAGATCGTAAAGTAGCAGCAAAGGCAGCTTCTCACTTTGTTGGTCACATTAAAACTACGTGCCCATGAAGATGATCACCAGGATCGTGCCATTACCCTGATTACTTTATATTCAGGCTTCCTCGGAGGCTGCTGGAACAAAACAATGCTTCCTCATTTTCAAACTAGCCCAGTGTTGTTATGGTAAAGCCCAGTGAAGTACTTGGCAATGCTGTTTTATCCAGCACGTTGGGGGAATGGGGGGGTGCCAGTAAGTGAAAAATGCCTGTTAAGAGGGAGGGAGTTTGGGTGCAGGAGGAGGTGTGGGATATGGGCCCTGGGAGGGGGTATGGGTGTGGAAGGGGGCTCGGAGAAGGGGATTGGGGAACGGGAGGGGATGTGGGGTGCAGGCCGTGGGAGGGGGCTTGGGGAAGGGGGTTGGGGCGCGAGATGCTGGATCCAGGGTTGCTCACCTCAGGTGGCGCCTGCAGAGTCACCTAGGAGTGGCCGGGACAGGCCACTGCTTGCGGGGAGCCACCTGAAGTGAGCACTCACCAGATGCGGCACCCCGAGCCCCAACCCCTGTCCTGCGCTCTAAACCCCTCGTGGGCGTTCCTCTGCCCAGGAGCAGCAGGGATGTGTCGCCGCTTCTGGGGAGCACCGTGGAGCCAGGTAGCGAGCCTGCTGACACCGTGCCAACCAGACTTGCTATGAAGATTAGAAATGTTGGTGTATAGAGCTTTCCGGTTGGTACAGGGCCTGATAACACAGCTTTTACTGTAAATAGTTTCACAACGCCTGCCTGGCTTTATGTACTGAGAGACTGCTCCAGGCTAGGGGTGCACAAACTTTTCCGGTTGCATGCCCGACACCCCCTTACCGTTAATGGAATCTGTCTGTGCTCCCCTCCGTTACTGCACAGTTGACTCAGCAGAGGAGCTTGGCCTGAAGGTGGAGTTGGGGGCGGGGCTGGGCTGCAACTGGGGGCGGGGCTGGGCTCCAGTGGGGTGTTGTTTCCTCCCCGCCTTCTGAGGGGGGGCCGGCTTCGGCCCTGCCACACACCCCGTAAGGGTGGTGCGCCCCACAATTTGGGGACCACTGCTCTAGGCTGTGCCATGGTAGATCATTAAAAACAAACTTTCGCCATTCCCCACCTCAGCTCCCATCTGCCAAACAGATTAGTTCCTTCACTTTACTTAGCTCTTCCTCTGCCTTGCTCAGTCCTGCCTCTCTCCAGTGAGATCTAACGTCCCAGCTCTGCCTCCATTAACAACATCTCAATGCAGGTCAGAGTAATTTCCTGAAGTTGAGGCATTTCTTCGGAGAAATCTCTTTAAAAGGTCTAAGAGTGCGAGAGCAGGGTTCAGTAGCAGGTGTGGATGGGCTACAGGGCACAGAGGAATGGACTGACTGGGCAGAGATGAGCACAGCTATTTTAAGAGATAGTCGGGAGCTGACCGAGGGCAGACTGGAGGGATTTTGTTCTTGCTCTACTCTGTCAGAGCATACAACATTTTATTGTTCAGTCTTTGTTCATGAAACTGCCAGTGGGTAAAACCATCTCAGTGACACTCTGTAACAAAGGGTTTTTGGGGATCTGTAGCACACATATAACCCCTTATTGACAGCACTCAGTTCAGGGTGTGTGGGGGAGCGTGAAAGGAGCAGAAAAGTTATTGACTCCCAGGAATATAGTTAACAAGCCGAGGGATGCAAATAACAAATATGCCAGTAAATAGTAGACAGGGCCAAAACCACTACAGTATATTCCTCCAACATAGGTAAAACACTGTCCCATCTTCAAGCATACATGGCGCAACTAGGTTTTAATTGACCTGCGCTAAAGCCTTGGACAAGCAAGTCTGTACCACAGTTAAGATACACCATTACACCGTAAAACGGGACTACGTCAAAGGATGATGCCTGTAACCTGGTCCCACAACCATTTTTCCTGTAGTATCGACAAGCCCTTACTCAATTCAAACCACTGAAATCTTCATGGAATCTTTCAGCATCTGCCTCTATTTCAGAAGATGGCTACACTGACTAGGACAAGGATATATGCTAACTGCTGTTTATTGTGCTTACCTAGCTCTTCCCATTAAGCCTTGACCCTGAAAGTAAAGCAAACCTTCAACAGTAAGATTGTGTGTAAGAGCAGGTGTGGGCTGGGGCCCTGGACATGAGCCAAAGTAGTACTACACAGGTGCTAAAGGATTGTCTAAGCCATCCTCACAGTCCTGATTTTTCAGCCATAAACCCCCTCCACGTCAAATAGCCCTAAAAGAAATTCTATGAAGACCTGCTGCAGTTAAGTCCTTCATGGGGAGGGTCTCCCCACAGTATGGGAGATCGGTACAAGGCACCACCCTCCAAACACTGTAAACTCTCTGAAAAGAGAGCAGCAGGAACAATACGGGGCCAGTTCAGATTTTGTACGGTTGTAAATCATGGCATGTTGCCCTGGAAGTCAGTATAGTAAAATTGCTGTATGGTCAGACACAGACAAAGTTCGAAGTTCACTTGTATGAAATTTGAGAGGAGAAAGTTCCTAGACACTCATTGCTCCAAAGATGCAAGGTCTTGGACAGAGTCAATTATTCCCTTTGGGGGTTATTCACATGCATTATATCCAATGGTACCAGTTGGTAACATACAGCCACCCCCAACTACACTTACGCTCACCACCTCCAGCTCAAAAAGAAATCCAATTCCTAACAGCAAGAGGCTAAAAATTGCAAAGCCAAAAATCAACCCCCATATCTGAAGCCAGGTACTTGCAATCTTTTGTGATTTTGCAGACTATCAAATTTTAGCAGGTGGCCCAGGAAGAAAACACATTTGTTTCCATCTGCAAACGCCTCACCACACACACACACACACACACACACAAAAGAAGGAAGCACTCTCCCCTCCAGAGATTTTATACAATGCATACAAATAGGAATACAAAGTTCACTAACTGGCAGTCTGACCTCACCACTAGGGGAGGAAGTAGAAGTTACACTTATATGGCACTTTTCATCTGTAGATTTCAAAGCATCAACCACTTTTTACAGATGGGCAGGCTGTGAGAGGGTAAGTCACCCAGCAGAACTCAGGCCATCCAGGATATTACTAGTCTGATGCCCTATCCACTAGATTGCTAAAGGAGGCAGTATAGGTATTCTTAGTCTTCAGCAAACCCTCACAACGGCCTTGTGAGGTGTATCACCCCTATGCAGCCAATGAAAACAAAGGTCAAGCGATTTGACCAAGGCCATAGAGGGAATCAGTATCAGAGCTGGGAGTAGTACTTTTAGTTCCTTGCTCCTGGTCCTGTGCTCAGGTCACAGCACAGAAAGTTAAATTAAAACAAAATAAACCCCCTCCACTTTAATAAAGAGAGCTAGCTTTTAAATGGTAACTATGTTAAAGACACTGTAATTCTTCAGAAAGTGAATCACAATTAGACATTTCTATCACTTGTTCCGCCATGAGTTAATGGCCATTTGAAACCTGTTCCCAGGGACACATTCAGTTTAAAATTTGCTCTCACATGGAAATCAAAGACACTCTAATCGTTCCCACAGTTTAAACTTGAGTTCCAGGTATGGAGTTTTTGAGCATTTGGAGTCGTCGTCTTTTTTGTTTGGACAGGATTTCTTCCCTCCCTCCCCCCAAAATGCCTCTCCTCCTGGCCCCAGAAACTTTATTTCTGCTACCTTCTACAGCACCTGCAGCATGTGACTGGAAGATCACAGCAGCTTGCTGATCAAGAGCCTCAAAAATTCATACCATGGAAGGAAGTCGTAAGAGGTCTTTCCTCCTCCCCAATGGATATGGCATTCTGGGCAGCTGCAGTAAGGAATGAAACCCTGTATACGGTCCTTTTTTAAGATTCCCAAATTCATTTTGAAGCCCACTGAGACGATCACACTGCGTAATCGCTCTCTGCTGTAAAAAGGTAACTTCCCTTTCTTAAAAATAAACCACTTAAAAAAAAATAAGAATGCAAAATAGACTTACATTTTGCCTCGGACAGATTCTGATTAGGTGACCAGACCAGCATGCCAAGGTTCTCTCTCTCCTGACAGCGTCTTGCAAGTTTGGCTTAAGAAAAAAAAAAGAGAGATATACAGTAAAGTTAAAAACAAATTCAAGAATCTTATCGCCAGCTAGTACTGAAGCAAACTGGGTACAAGAGTGGCTTATCGTCCAGCTTTTAGTCAATCTAACAAGGTTAAAAGCCTTCCTCCCTCTCCCCCTTTAGATCAGAGGTCTCTATTTGTCTCTTCTATATATCACTCTTAATACAATGTGACAGAGGAAGTACATTCACCCTCTTTCGTGCAGGAAGCTCTAAATCGAATGTTAATTAACATTTCTACATCAGCATACTTGATTATTTCTCTTCTGCCTTTTGTTAAATGAAGGGAAGGAGCAAGAACCAGATGCTATGGATACGAGATCCTGAATGCTATGGTTGCTTCCTTGTGAAGTTAGATTAGGACTTCAGGACAGGCACATGGAATGAAGAACGTTCTGGGATTTTTTTTTACAAATCCCTGTAAATTATCCCAAGCCACCCTCCAGTTCCAACTAAGTATTTCCACACTGACATTTCATACACTCTGGGCCAGATTCAAATCTCAGTTATATTGAGGTCACTGGGATTAGAATCTGGGCCTTCGTTTGTACAGTTATTCTAAACAGGGAAATGGCTCTCTTTGTTCATGGGTCTGTTACATCACAATAAAGAGCTGCCCAGCATAATGCATTAAAATCTACAATTCAAAGCCATGTGCACATATGTTCCTGATCGCTTGCTATTCAAGTTGCTCTCTCTGAAACCAATGCAAGTTTGTGTACCTCAAATTTTTGGCAGTCTGCTGTTCAATTCCTTACACCATTAGCCAGGTACAGTAAAGATATTAGAAGAGAGAGAGTTATCAGAAGGAGACACACCAAAAATGGAGTCGATAGACCAAAAGCCTCTCTCCGTTGAGTCAGCACGTGTAGTTAAAATCCATTACTAGTACTGGCAGCACAATGTTAAGAGAAAAACTCTCATATCTAGCTACCAGTGGAGAGCTGGGTATTATTATTCCTACTACAAAACCTCTATAGAGTGCTAAAAAGTTATAATGCTTCACATATAGAATGACACATACCCTGCCCCGATCTGATTAATAATATATAAAACACAACAGGACCAGAGTTCTAAGAATTTCTTCTCCTGGATACATCTGCACTGAACCGCCTCCTGTATCAGCGAGTCTCAGAGCCCAGATCTACAGATTTAGGCTCATGCTGCGGGGCTAAAAATAGCAGTGTAGATGTTCTCACTTGAGCTAGAGCTCAAGCTCTGAGATGACCCACACCCCCCTCACTGGGTTTCAGAGCCGGAGCAGGAACATCTACACTGCTATTTTTAGCTCTGTAGTACAAGCCCCCACAAGCCTGAGTCTATAGAACCGGGCTCAGACTCGCTGCTGTGTCTCTTTTTTGCCCTGTGGGCATACCCTTAGTGATGAGAAGCAGCGAATAGAGATCCTACCCCAGGGTACTATACATGTGAAATCAGAACAGGATTGACTTTTTAAACTCATTTGCAGCAGAGACAGAAAGTTATGTATGTCAAAGGAAACTTGGTGCTGGTTGGTCTGTAGAAGAGAAGAGTGAGGGGGGATTTGATAGCAGCCGTCATCTACCTGAAGGGGGGTTCCGAAGAGGATGGAGCTCAGCTATTCTCAGTGGTGGTAGATGACAGAACAAGGAGCAATGGTCTCAAGTTGCAGTGGGGGAGGTCTAGGTTGGATATTAGGAAACACTATTTCACTAGGAGGGTGGTGAAGCACTGGAATAGGTTACCTAGGGAGGTGGTGGAATCTCCATCCTTACAGGTTTTTAAGGCCTGGCTTGACAAAGCCCTGGCTGGGATGATTTAGTTGGTGTTGGTCCTGCCTTGAGAAGGGGGTTAGACTAGATGACCTCCTGAGGTCTCTTCAAACCAGAATCATAGATGATTCTAAGTACGTGTTCTTGAACAGTCAGGCTACATAAAAACATTTGGTGGGTGCATGCAAAGAACTTTAATGTTTTGACCACTCAGGCTGTGTGGATTTTTAACATTGCCTCTCCTTAACTTGGCATTAGACAACAAACCTAAGTTATGTTTTCAGGTAACAGTTTAAATCCCAACAACAAGCTGGTTTTAAAAATGGTATTATTAACCTCTAACATAATGCAAAGATTCCGATTATTTTTACTCCCAATTATCTGGATGCTGAAAATTGCATCATCTCTACGCCTCACCGCACTAATGCAAAAAAGTTTATTTTCTCTCTGTTTTGCCATGAAGATGCTGAGAAATTAATGACTGACACAGAGAGAGAGAGAGAGAGTAAAAGAGAAGCCAACGTTCTCTGGAGAATGACAGGGTGGAGACGGGATGTTCTATAGAGACTATAAAAACATCTTAATTTAGTATGACAATAACTGGACTTTGAACAAAACTTGCTATGATCTTGAAACATTCGGGATTGAGCTTCACCCTCTCATGTGGCTAACAAATCAAGATTATGGAGTTGTGAGGAAAGAAAAAATAGGTAACCCCGATGCCAATCACTTGTAGAATACTGCTCCACTGCATTATGCATCTCAGTTCTACTCACCCATTGTTCAGCCTACTACAAAAGTATCTGAACAGGAAAAAAAAAAAACACACCAAAAACTTCTACCACCATAAGAGGTTATATCTAAAGAGAACCTCACACCATTTATCGATACACAAATAAATGCACAAGAACTAGTGAGAGACTCCAATTAAGATTTACTTTAAGCAGTGACAGGCGACTACACCCAAAAAGAATGTATTAGGCTGCGTTTTGTCAGTTAGGATTCAGGAGTCAGTTACTTAAATGCCAAAAAGAACTTCGATAACAGAGTTAAGGGGTGCCCAGTGGTACCTTGTGCCCCTTCAGAATGTGCAGAGTCGCTAAATGTAAAGCCTCTGAAAACCAGGAAACACCTTATTTACTGGTTTTCAGGAGATTAAATTTAGCCACGCTGCACATGAAAGGGCGCAAGGTGCTACCTTGAGGGTACGTTTCCCCTAGAGCAGCTGTAGCAGCAAAACTACAGAACTGCAGCTATGCCACTGTAGTACAGACACTTCCTGTTGAAGGAAGGGATTTTTCCCCTCAAAGGTGGTAATCCACCTCTCCAAAAGCTGGTAACTAGGTCAACGGAAGAGTTATTCTGTCAACTTACCTGTGTCTACAGTGAGGGTAGGTCGACCTAAATACATCACACAAGGCATATTTTTTTTTTTTTTTTACAGGCCAGATGATGCAGCTGAGTTGACCTACATATTAGGTCTAGACTGGACCAGCGGTTTTCAACCCAGGGTCCTCAGACCCCTTGGGATCTGCGGACTGTGTGCAAGTCACACAGTGAAAGGTGGTCATTACCACAGAACAGTGTTTTCAACCTGTGCTCTATGGATGGGGGTCTGCAGACTAGGTCTAAGATTTCCAAAGGGTTCCGCATGTCCATGTGAAATTTTTTAGGGGTCCACATATGAAGAAAAAAAAAAAAAGGTTGAAAACTACAGGACTAGGCCTAATTCTGCATTAATGATGACTGGGGGCTTTTAAGGGTTTTTGTTTTTTAAAAACAAGGAAAAGGATTTTGCACCACACACACAAGCGCCCAACTCTCCTCCTTTCCTTGCATCTGGCTCCTTGGCAAGGATTACCCCACCCTCAGAACACACTGTATGTTAAACCCCTTTGCTGCACCTGAATCACCCCCCCACATCTCTCTACCTGTCCAGCACAGCTCCCCTTCCTCTCCCCACAGAGAAGCAGGCATCAAGATGGGGCCCACAGACTAAGGAGCTGAGGAAAGGAGCAGAAGAGTGGGGATATGTTTTGAAGGGGTGGGACAGACACGGGGGGCACAAATGTAGGTTTTTGAAGGTGACAGATGTCACCTTGCCTGACCCCCTTCTTTCCACAGACTTCCAACCCCCGATATTCTCTCCAACATCTCAGATTTCCCCCCCAGACTGCTCTGAGACAGCTCATACTCCAACGTTATCACCATCACACCCACTGCTCATCTTAGTGGCTGTTCTCATCCCTTTTCCCTTGGACATTTAGTACCCCTGCTAATACATGGGGAAAGAAAGACTGCCCTGCCCCCAACAGAGGTATAAAGGGACCCAAGATATTGGTTTACACATGGGGGAATCCCTGCCCCCTCTGACACTGGGTGTAGCTGCCACCCCATTCCCAAAGATGGGCTAGACTAGAGGTTTTCAAATTGTGGGGCTCAGCCCCTTAAGGGGGAGTGGAGGAACACGTGGGGCTCAAGCCAGTCTGCGTCAGGGTTTAGGGAGGGAGTGTCGCCTCTGACTAACCTCAGCGGGCCACCCAGCCTGTGGGTCAACACCTGCCACAGAGATTTCTGCCTCCAGAGACCTTCCCACATGCCTTCCCCCACCCTGAAAATCCAAGAGGGAAGGAGGAGCAGGTATTGTGTCTATGTAAAAGTCTGAAAACCTCTGGCCTAGACAAACCTACTATAAAGGTGGGTGCACAACTGGTTGGAAAAGCATACTCAGAAGGCAGTTAGCTATGATTCATAATTAAGTTGGAAGGGCATAATGAGAGGGGTCTCACAGGGATCTGTCCTGGGTCTGGTTCTATTCAATATCTTCATGAATCATGTGGATAATGGTGTAGATGAGTACACTTAAAGTTTGCAGAGGATACCAAGCTGGGAGGGGTTGCAAGTGATTTGGAGGACAGGGTTAAAATTCAAGATGATCTTGAGAAACTGGAGAAACGGTCTGAAATAAAAAGGATGAAATTCAGTAAGGATAAATGCAAGTACTATACTTAGGAACGGACAATCAATTGCACAATACAAAATGGGAAATGACTGCCTAGGAAAGAGTACTGCAGAAAAGGATCTGGGGGTTATAGTGGATCACAAACTAAATAGGATTCAACAATATAATACTCTTGCCAAAAAAAAAAAAAAAAAACCAAAAAACCCACCACCGACAAAGCAGCAAACATCATTCTGGGGTGTATTAGGAG